GTAAAAAAATGGGCCTATCAGAAAGTTATCAATAATTCCGACCCAAACATTGAGCAAAAACTGATATTGATGACGGCCTTCCAACACGGCATGTGGATTCTCATCACTCCATATGTGATTGTTATGGAAATTCATGATTGCGTCCCTGGAGAAATTAGCCTCATCGGTGAACAGTACTTTTCTCAAAAACAGTGCATCTTGCCTCATATGTTCTTGCATCCAATGACACAAAGCCACTCTTCTTGGAAAATCGTCGGGCAAAAGTGCCTGCACACGCTGAATATGATAGGGGTATAAAAGATTCCTTTTAAGAATATTCCAAACTGTGGAATGGCTAATGTGTAACGTCTGAGCAATCTTTCTAGTGCTTGTGGTAGGGCATTCCTCGATTTCATTGAGCACCTGTTCTTCCATTTGAGGAGTAACTGTTTGTGGATGTCCGTTTTCACTGGTAAGTTTTTTAAAAATGCCGGTTTCACTTAGGCGATTATGTAAACGAGTAAACATAGAGTGTTGGGGAATAAGGCGATTGGGATAACGTTCAACATAAATACGCATGGCTTCTAGTGCCTGTTAGCCAGCCCATAAATGAAGTGCATATCGCACATTTCATTATTTGTGTAATTATACATTTCTTTAATTGTAACTTCTACACGAAAGGAGGATTATCGACAAATTAGTACCACATAATTACTTCACTTGTACTTCTGTTAGTACTTTTCCGATGGATCAGGAAGTCTTTCGAGTCAATACATCGCTAGACTGCCCTGTTGGGCTTTTCGGTCGGCTTTATAATTTATAATATCCACCAGATCGCTGTAAAAACTCTACTCCTCGGATCCATGGGCGTATCATTAGCGGTGTTCGCCGAGACATCGTTATAAAATCTTATTACTAATTAGAATGTATTTTCTATTAATCAGTAAACCGTTAAAATTAAGTTTTATGAATTATCTTTTTTGACATTAAAATTTAAAAATCTACTAAAACTTTTAACTGTAGGTAAAATGGATGCTTAAATGCTCAAGTATTTTTTAGTTAAAAAAATATATGAACAATTATGTATTTGAGTTTTGTTTTAACCTATACACATCGTTGCGAAATGAAATAGTGCTTCGGCATTGAAAAACTGTAGCTGCAATAAACTGGTTATCCTGTGAAGTACCCTGTGTAACCTTATACAAAGTGGTAGGGTTAAAATGGGAAATGCGAAGGTATATCAAATATAAAATAAAATACAGAATAATCAGTTTAAAAAACAAATTTATTCCAAACTGAAGTTATTGAATACCCTGTATATTTGAAAATAATTTTAAAATAATATGTAGTTTAACGCTGCCTTTCATTCTGTGAATATATTTTTGTATATCTCTAATAGTGGCGAAGATATTGTACTATTTTATACCAATGGATTATTCTGTACCTATTAGGGTGATTTTTTTTCGACAATTTTTTTATTTTCGCTCCCGTCCTGAAATTTTGTTGAAAATACCCCAAAAAAAATTCCCTGAAAGTTTGAGCACTTAATATTAAGTCCTCGACCAAGGCGTGCAAAGATTTTCCATTTAAAATACCCGTACAATTAGGGCACAGAACAATTACTTTTAGAATGGAAACTGCAATGTTAAAATTTGCGACAGTTTTGTAACACCCGGTGAGCGTTCTTTGAACTATTTGGCGGAAGTGGCGCCATCTCGCGGTCACTTTAGTTAATACAAAACGCGGGAACATTCAAAATGGTCCTTCAATATTTAGTTTAAAAGTGGTAGTCAAATTAAGATTTGTTCATACCAACTCCTTTTTTACGTTTATTGTAGCAATAAAATTATATTTGTTACAATAAAGCAAAAAATGAGTAGTATGAACCAATCCTAACTTGACTACAAGCTGAAATATTTTTACAAAAAATTAAAAAGCATGATCAACAAAATTAATTTATTAAAACAAAAAAAACATACAAAATAGAATAATTAAATGTAGCGTGTTAATTAGCTGGAAATTTAAGTCATTGTCTACAGAGGTTGAAGAGTTTTATCTAAAACAAAAAATAAATATTAATCAACTTATAAATCAAGAAGGGTACAGGAAGAAAAAAGCAGAAAAGCCACATTTTTATCAAAATTGAACTGGTCCGCCCTATTTTGTAAAATACCAGTATTAGCAAATGCAAAAACAGTGCATTTAAAATTATGTCCAAGGACTTTCCTACTGTTTGTTTGTCATTTTCAGTATTTAGAATAAAAAATTACAACTGTCTGGTAAATTAAGTGGTAAACTACAATATAATCAGGCAACATTTAAACAAAGTAACATCTTTTTGTAATCAATTACCTTAAAGTATCAAAAGTTTGTATTTAGTCAGTCTAAATTAAATTTGGTTTTCTGAACATTTTGGTAATTGTGACTAGGCCCCTATTTTTCCTGAACCCTTCAAATCTGTTGGGGAGCACAGAAAGTGAGGCATAAATAAAAAAAGGTATACTGACCATTACTTCCCGGACTAGGCTATTTTGTCTTCCACAATCCAATATTGCCATTCCAAATGGCTTGAAGAAAGTTTGTACTAGAACAAATAAAAAACAGTAAAAGTAACAATCTGAACTAAATCAATATAAAAATCAAATGTGAGGCATGAATACAAAAAGTACAGTGACTATTAATTCCCTGACTAGGCTGTTTTTGTCTTCAACGATGCACTACTGCCACTCCAAACAGCTTGAAAAAGTTTGTACTAGAACAAATAAAAATACAGTTAGATCGCTGCGTGCACCAAGAACTTTAAACATATCTTCAAAATCTTTATCACATACTAAATAGTTTTTACAAATTTGTTGTTTTATTCTTGAAAAATGGACTGCGAACACTCAATACTCAAATTTGAAATAAATCGTTATTAGGATTTCAGAGTGTTTACAAAACAATTTGGCATACAACAATACGATATATTACAGCTTTTATAACTAAAAATGACCACAAAAATTTAAAATAAGCTCAATCGTCAGCAAGATCAAGTAATCAAATTGAACATTTAAAACACAATTGAACAAGACCAAGTTGACAATACAATAAACAATTATTTACAAAATACTTACTATTTATTCATCCAGGATCCAGAGCACACCCAAATACAAACAAATAATAATTATTAACAATATGATATGGATAATCACAAAAAATACAGGTAAAATGGCAAATGTCATTCACCGCGAGGTAATCGATAATGGATGCCTGACAATGATAAATGACACTCCCACTCTTTCCACCATCAATTGTAGATTTCTGTAAATTGTTGTGTACAGCGCCATCTAGAATCTGTTCTTTGAAACAAAAATATAGTTTCAGCTCGGGCTATACCAGTTACCGATACCTGAATTAGGGTTTTTTTCTTCAGATTTCTATAGCTTAGCGGCATTTCATGGTATTATTTCGACCATAGACATATATTTCTCCAAATTGAACGCTCTACAAAAGTGTCTATTGTGGCGATGTCGTAACTCACATCGGCGAGGTAGTACGGGTCACTAAATCGATTTTTTTCATGAAATTCACGTTATTTCGACTCTATGTCATAATTGAGAAGAGTTACAGAAAAAATTGTAGGATATTTAATTTACTACAAAAAATGTCCTGAGAACCAAATCGCTAAGATCAATATTTGTCGAGATTCGAGATATTAAGCCTTGAATTAATTTTACTGAAAAATTTTTGCCGATTATTGACTAAACTTTTTGAAATCATGTTTTCTTTTTGTATTATCACACTTTTTGTTCAATATATTTCTTTAAAGTTAGAATACTAGAATATGATTAATATCTTACATCGTTAAAGCTCATATTTGAAGAATCTTTAACAAATTAAGGATTTACTGGCTCCTGCATAAAACATACAAATACAATTACTTTTATATAATTTATATATTACTAACATTTATTAAATTATAATAGTTTGAATCATATTAACAACAATAAATTATTTATGAAAATATAAACAACAATACCAATAAATTATTATTGAAAGTAGAAAAATTAATCGTTACACTAATTCATTGTTAATATATTGTGATTTTTTACACGATGTGAATTGAGAGCGATGATGCTGAAAATTTTGAAAAAATTTTTGTCTCTCAACTTCGTTATGAGTTAATGCTTCATTAAAACTTTCGACTAGTGCTACTCCCCTTTCTGCAGTATCGTTAACCACTTTTAACATTTTAAATGTATCATAATACAAAAAATAAGCAAGATTTCAAAAAGTTTTAGTCAATAATTCGCAAAAATTTTACAGTAAAATTAATTCAAGGCTTAACATCTCGAATCTCGACAAATATTGATCTTAGCGATTTGGTTCTCAGGACATATTTTGCAGTAAATTAAATATCCTACAACTTTGTCATTTACATGTTTTCTGTAACTCTTCTCAATTATGACATGGGGTCGAAATAACGTGAATTTCATGAAAAAAATCGATTTAGTGACCCGTACTACCTCGCCGATTGAGTTACGACATCGCCACACTAGACACTTTTGTAGATCGTTCAATTTGGAGAAATATATGTCTATGGTCGAAATAATACCATGACATTCCGCTAAGCTATAGAAATCTGAAGAAAAAAACCTTAATTTTACGTGTATTTTAAATGGAAAATCTTTCCACGCCTTGGTCGAGGATTTAACATTAATATTAAGGGCTCAAACTTTCAGGGAATTTTTTTTTGGGATATTTTCAACAAAATTTCAGGACGGGAGCGAAAATTAAAAAAATAGTCGAAAAAAAAATCACCCTAGTACCTATATATCAATCCTTGGTACTTAGATAGGTATTTATTTTTTCTGATTTTTCGTTCTCTTTATCATGGAATTATATAAAAGGAGCCAGCAAAGCAGTTGTTTTTATCGCAGTATTTGAGTAAATTGTTTCGCAATATTCTATTTATCGAAAACATGTAAAATATTCTTTAAATAAAAAAAGGTTTAAAAATAGACTCTATTTTTTTTGTTGCAGATGATTATGGGTTTTTAGAATTTGTTTTCCTACAACATGCTGTACCTGATTGTCACAATCCGCAGTTTGTTATGGGTGCTCCTGAGTTTGTTTTCCACCTTACTGATGCTCAGCGCTTTTCTTAGTCCATCTTGGCTTTTGGCAGCACCAGAAACTGTTTATTTTGAAAATGAAACGGTTATTTACAGGTAATGTGAAAATATAATTTAATCAGTTATGTTATGCCTATAACGACTTTTCCAATTATTCTCAAGGAAATGTAGGATTTGAGTTGGCTTCAAGTTAGGTTAATCTCCATCTTCTATTTGATATACTCCTAGATACAGTGCTTCTTGGATTCTGGAGCGGCTACACATTCAGTCAGAATGTGTAGCACAAAATTATATATATATATAATGAACTTGAGTTATTGGGTTTGCAGCAAAACGATATGTGTACTCTTATAAGTTTATTCCAAGCTTTCGATATATATATATATATAATTTAACCAGTAATTTGTGGGTAATGCAGCAAATGAAAGTTTACTTTTTTAAGTTTATTCCAAGCTTTCGGAAATGTTTATTTCCATCATCAGGGAGACTAAAATAAAATAATACCACATATTATGATAAAGTAAGGTAAAATTTTTTAATTACTTACATCTTAATTAAGGTTGTTCATTATGGTGGTATTATTCATTTTAGTGTAAATATACAATGGACAAGCTGAATCAATTACAAAATAATATACACAAACAATAATTACGATACTTTAAAACTAAAAAAATATAAATAACGAAAGGTCAATTTGACAATTTGACATGACAAGTAAAATTTTAAATAAATAACAAGTTATTAAAGGTTAGGAAATAAATGTGGATAATGCTATATTTACATAACATTAATATTTTTTTAATGTTCAAAGAGTGATTTTTATATTAAATTAGCTCTGTATTATTTAAATTATGAATTTGGTTTGGTTTATTGTCCAAATCCAATAAATAAGAATAAATTTCACTTAAATTGTTAATATCTGTCTTTTTGTTCATAGAATTTGGTTCCTGTGAAATGAAAGCCATCTCCAAGAAAAGTCTTTTATGGTAGTTATTTTCAATGGCTAATATTTTAATTTCGTCATAATTTATATTATGTTGATATTTATTATTAACTAGTCAGCAACGACTATCAACTCTCTTATATATATATATATATATATATATATATATATATATATATATATATATATATATATATATATATATATATGATAGCTGAAGACAAATAGTATTTAATAGTGAAAAGAGTATAAATTAAACTTATCCAAGCTTTCGAATAGAAATATTTGTTAAAGGACAAAGGTGTTTACTTACAACTTAGTGAGATTGGTTCGTGAAATTGATGAAAATTATTACAGTAATTATGACTAGATTAGATATAGAATTTTATCAGTCGTACAAAGAATAAATGTACTTTACTCTTGAGTAAAATTCATATTTTTTGACAAACCTCGTATACGGCTTAAAAAAATTGATATCTGATGGTTGTATTTTAAGTTTTGGACCAAGCAGAACTTTTATATTTTACTTTATTTGCAGACCTAGTGTGGGGGTATACGCCAAATGTAGTAAACCTATCAGATCTGAATATCCTATTTGCACACTTCTAGCTTCAAGAGGACTAGCTACTGATTCGTTTGTTTACCCAATTCCATGGAAAGCAGCCACTGTATTTTTGGCTTTGGGTAAGTACATATACTTAAAAAGCATAAAGGTTTAAGTACTTTTAGTGCCGATGAGACTTTAAAAGTTGTAACCTGGCTTCAAATGTATCTAAAAGTATATAAAGTAGTCAATAAACATTCTATTATTATATTATATTACTATTAAATTATAAACATATTATTTTAAGGTTTAGCAATTATGTCCCTCACAGTTTGCACAGGACTATTGAGTTGTTGCTTTCAAAGTATCTTTAAGAAGAGTATTTTCAACATATCAGGTGCTGGTCAAGCTATTGCAGGTATATACAATTTATAAGAATATTTTGTCTACTTTCTTTAGTTACTATAATACAACATTAACATTTTTGATATTTTGGTATATAATTAATTGTTAACTTTCTGGATTATTTCAAAAAAGTCACAATTAAATTTTTGGTTAATTTTTCACCATCTGTTTTTTGACTAATTAAAACAATGTTTTAGGTATCTTCTATATAATAGGGGTCATGCTGCATCCCATGGCATGGGGAAGTGAGAGAGTACAGAAACTTTGTGGAAGGGAAGCATCTGCATTTTATCCTGCAGATTGTTCTCTGGGAGTAGGGTTTTGGATAGCTATATCAGCAACAGTTCTCACCTTTGTAGCTTCCTGCTTATCTTTGCCGGCAGAAAAATCCACAAGTAGTGATAAAGTCCAAGACAAGATTTATGAAGGGCAAACACTTATATGTTTAACCTAAAAAGGTTTGTTGCGTTTTGGTTTAACTGTTTAATTGTCGGAGCACATTTTATTTTTCTTTGGAGGTAGGTAATAAACTGCTCGTGAAAATAGTCCATACACCTAATTTTATCGTCATTTGTAGGAGACTGTATCTCTGAAACGCCTTTGCCGATTTTCAAAAATGAAGAAAATTTTGAATGTTCGTTATCTCTTGTATTAATCTCTTGTTATTTATTTATTTATTTACGGGCAAGCCCATTTGAGAAATAAATTACAATTTTAAAATTATAATTAAAATGTAGTGAAATATATATGGTGTTGAAATACAATCGTGGTATAATTCATAAAATAGGTTAAGAATTTAAAAGACAAAAGACAATAAGGTTGAATAAAATAATTACATTAAACATTAAAAATTAGAGCTCAGTACTAAGTAATTGCTTTATAAATTTATGAAAGGGGGTGTTAAATATCTCAAGATCGTTATGAGTGTTGGCTAATCTTAACATTCTTGGAATACAGCTGCTAAAAGTATGGTTTAAGAGCTAGATCACGTCAAGTGGACCCCCTATTTTCCACTTGATCATAAAAATTAAGTTCATTTATTGTTTTTATAAGTAGTTGCCATGAAAAATTAATCCCCCAAATAATTTTTCAAAATTTTGATTTTAACAGTAATTTTTTTAAAAATGAAAATTTTGAGTACTTTTAATTAAAAAATGGATTTTAAATCAACCGTTAAAGATAAATTAATGAAATTTTCAGGATTTATTGTTAAATATCTATATTTTGATAATACATTAATAACTTAAAATTATTTGTTTATTATCATATTGTTAATTAACTTTTAAATGAACAAATTAAAATTTCATTGATATCTCGGTAAAAAAATGAAGTTTTTTTTATCGGTTACATGCATATTCCGAAAGAAAATCTCACTGCTCGCTATTAGTTTAAACAATGTAAATTTATTTATCATAGCTCGCCGGGCGTCGGGCGCTGGCTGTCAGAACACCGCGCGGCCGAGCGTCTCCGGCTACACTGCATCTTTGGTCATTTATAATTAAAAATAACAATTCAAAATATTAATATTAATAATAAATTTTATTCTTTCAATGTTATGAACAATGCAATAAAATAATTTTTTATTATTAAAGTAAACAGAGAAAATTAAGAAATACTTAATTATAAATTTTACAAAACCATGTTATTATATATTTATTTTTACTTGGTAAATCAGTAAGCTATGATTTTTAAATTTACTACATTTTGACTTAAAAAAAAACTGCTTGGTTACGATTTTCATTTGTTACTGACGTATCCACGTAAATAAAATAATTTTAGTAGGCATTCCAGTTTATTCTTTATAAGTTCATACGCATATATGAGTTAAATAATTATTAAAAACAAGAGCTGAGGTTTTGTGAATTTGTGTTCTGTTTATCAATTCAATAATATTATAATTTAAACTTATAGTCCAAGATCCCAGGGACACCAGACGTCACGTATTTTCTGATGAAGGAAATGTGGACGGTTGAGTAGTGTTAGTATGTACTAAGAACGCATGCTTACCTGCTAGCTTGCTCAGACGGCCAATTTTCAGGTATCAGGTAAGCAAGGTACATAAAAACATTACTTACCTCACGTAAATTCTCCAAGCTGATTTTTACGTATATTTTAGGCAATATCCTTAAAAATAAATCGCCAATACTACCAGACACTTTCCGTCAGCCGTATTGCTTTGCAGACGCTTTAAAGCTCCCAAAATAATGACTTGACTTCACGTAAATTCTGATGCTCCATTTTTCCGAACTTGGCGTCCAAATTTGTAGAGGTGGTAGTTCGCATAATTTGAGAGCGATTGGCAGATTTCATTTTTCTACATTTCCTTAGATATGTGTTGATTGAAGCTTAAAGTGGGATCTAGAATAACTCCAAGGTCTTTAATTTGATTAACAGACTCCAAGATATGACCATTTAAGTTATAATCAAAAGTAGTAGTTGGTAATCGATAAAAGCGCATGACATGGCACTTTATAGCATTCAAATCCATGCCATTTAAGGCACACCAGTTTGATAGATTATCAAGGTCAGACTGAAGCCAGAGGGCATCATAAATGGTTTTAATAGTTAGGAAAACTTTTAAATCATCTGCAAACAATAGTGCTTTACCATACTGAAAACAATGAATGATGTCATTTATAAATAAGTTGAATAATAGGGGACCAAGGTGTAATCGTTGAGGAACACCTGAGGTAACTTGAAATGAGTTTACTCTAACCATTTGAGTTCTGTTCGTAAGATAGCTACTAATCCATTGCAGTAAGACCCCATTTATGCCATATATGATCTTTAGTAAAAAGTCTTTTCATTGTTGTATAGGGTGTGAAAGACTGCAATGTAAAAATGTAAAATTTTAAATGTCTGCACATGTTGTAATAATAATTCCAGAACTTGTAATAATAATTCCAGAACTTTCATCGTAATTACATTTAGAAGTTTCGGTCGATATCTCGGAACGTATTAGGCAGTTTTGTATTTTTTGGTTTAGAAAAAAGTTGTAGGCAGGGGCGGTTTCTCCTTTGGTTCATTTATGCCGTCAACACCCAGTTACATTTCATAAAAACACATTATTTTAAAATAAATAACATACAAATATTAATTTAATTTTAATAATTTTATTGTTTTCAAACGTGTTAATATGTATTTTTGGCTACGCCTGAAGGAGTGAAAAGTGTTCTTGAAAGTCATTAGCTAAAAGATGTCATACGTAAACATACATCATAATTTGCGCAACGTGGTTGGCTTCTTGAGTGATCTCCAGTTGATTTGATTTCATCGCTAGTTCCATTCTTTTTTGAACTTGGCGGCACCGTACTGATGAAGACCAATAGTCAGAAACACGTGTCTACGGTTTGCCTTTAGGCATTTTTTTTTCATTTTTTTGCGGTATTTACCCAATAATAATTTGGCAAATTACTTCACTAGTGTACTCTTTTAAATTTATTCCGAGCTTTCGAGTATGGTTATACTCATTATCAAGGAGCTACAAAAGTTAATAAAAGTTGTTCAAAAGGCAAGTTAATTGATTAAGAAAGTTAAACTTACAACTCATTGAGGATGGTGTGTAAAAGGTCATCAAATTAAAATTATTGGACATCACAGTTTTACAAAGACGGAAACTATTTTAAACGGACAAACACTTGATACATTATTTGTATTAATTGAAGAAAAAACACATCGATGTTTTATAAAATATGTAAAACAAAAAGCAACATGGCTAACGGCGTGGGTGTCACATGGTTGTGAACCCCGCGAAAAATGAAGTAAAATGTCATGTGTCAGTCAACCGTCAAACATATCATCGGCGGAAGAGAAGAACGCAAGTGGCCTATGTCACCTTAGCACAAAGGGTACAACAATTCAGCCAATGAAAAGCATGACTGATGACTAACCTATGAGAATATAAATTATAAATTTTATTATTTTTATGTGTTTTAATTATTATAAGACTAATAATTATACGGAGGAAATTCTGATTTGTTTTAAAAATGTCACTGACTTAGCAGGCGACGTTGCCCTCTGAGTAAACAGTACGATACCCTTGTTAGGGTTGCTATCCCCTACCATGGATCATACTGATCACTGAATTGACAATATCACGAGCATAATCAGTGCATGTGGTTTTAATAGCAAAATTTGAAATTTAGTGTTAAATAGTCAATATAATAATTATTACACCATGAATAATGTTAGGAAAAAATTATTTTTACCAACAGTAACATAGAAAATAACACCAACGAGAGTCAAAATGTAATAAGTGTCGATGCTGGGGTTGTGCCACCCAACGATGTTTCCCAACAAATTAACATCAGATATGTCACGTTACCATATATTAAGGAAATTACACCTAAGATAACAAAATTATTCAAATCTATTGATAATATCAAAATTGCAGAAAAACTTGTCCTTACCGGTAGCTCTGTGTTTTCAAAATTGAAAGATAAAGTACCCATAACTTCGTTGAGTGATGTGGTCTACTGTATCCCTTGTGGTACATGCCAAAAATCATATATTGGCCAAACTTCTAGATGTTTAAAAGACCGTATAACATCCCACAGGAGCGACAGTAGACTACACCCTGAACGTTGTGCTTTGGCTGAACATGTCCATAAAAATGACCATATTATGGACTATGAAAATGTAACAATATTAGAAAGAGAAACCAACATCTCAAAAAGACAATTTTTAGAAATGTCACACATTTATCAACATGACAATAGCATTAATAAAAGATCAGATATTAAACATTTAAGTGAAATCTCCTATCTTTTATATTTGGATAAACATAGAGATGTCGGTATGGACAACACAAGTTTGTCTGAGTTGTAGTTTTCATAAACTTAGTTTCTCATATTGCATTAAATCCAAATGTTACTAGCTCTGTGGGTGATGTCGGAATAGGTGAGGGAGGGTCTTCAATTATTGAATTGTTGAGCCTCACTCACTTGGTGACATCAGACATAGACTAGTATCATAGAATTACAAATCAAAATTTCACCCGTATAATTGGTTGTATATCCTTTAATTTTTCAATTTTCAGCTTACTGTTTCATGTATAATTTACAAAAATAATTTTTTCCTAACATTATTCATGGTGTAATAATTATTATATTGACTATTTAACACTAAATTTCAAATTTTGCTATTAAAACCACATGCACTGATTATGCTCGTGATATTGTCAATTCAGTGATCAGTATGATCCATGGTAGGGGATAGCGACCCTAATAAGGGTATCGTACTGTTTACTCAGAGGGCAACGTCGCCTGCTAAGTCAGTGACATTTTTAAAACAAATCAGAATTTCCTCCGTATAATTATTAGTCTTATAATAATTAAAACACATAAATATAATAAAATTTATAATTTATATTCTCATAGGTTAGTCATCAGTCATGCTTTTCATGGGCTGAATTGTTGTACCCTTTGTGCTAAGGTGACATAGGCCACTTGCGTTCTTC